TCAGAGGAACTTGACCTCCAAAAATTTTTCCCGGCAATTAAAAGCTAGGTCTGAAGCATAAAAATAATCCTTAATAGATATACTTTTCGGCTGCATGGGATTCATTTCCCCGGCGATTGATGTTGCTCAACAAGCAAAAAGTTAATAACTCTGTCAGAAGTGACTTTTGAAGGCCAAAAACTTCAGATCCACATACTTACTGCATGATAAAAATCAAACAAGGACATGGAAGAAGCTTCTAGTGGACATTTGCTTGACTACATCACTGTCATCAATGCTTGCTAGGAAGCTTTGAAGTCATATTAAATTAAAAAATGGGTCTAAGGTACAACGCGACGGTCTTTCCTATAAAAAGGTCTTAAGAATGATAAGTTGGTGTCTTCAAGATTAAAGATATTAACAAACCCAGATGAGAAACATTATGAAAAATCCAACAGTAGAACACTTCTACGAATATGAAAAAAAATCAAAGAATTAAATAAACTTAACTTCAATTCTTTTAATGATTGATAGGCCATGACTTGATAAATCTACGACTAAAAAATAAAAAAAAACATGATAAATAAATGATATATCGTTGCGTTCAACATAAAACAGTCCAACGTTTTAGGTTGAACATTCTTAATGACTGAAAAAAACTTGGTAACCAGAAGCTTCCTTGGAGAGCTGCTTGAAAGTGTGAGTAGATGGGGAAAATATTGCTTACACTTCACAAAAGATTTCTCAGCAACATATCACCAATGAAACTGTAGAAAGGCACGTTGCTGTTTGCAGCGCTACGGACTTCCTGGTGTAATTTACTTTTTAAATGGAAAAACACTCAGCATCATACCTTGAAAACTTCCTTGATGTGGGCTCTTTGTGTGAAGAATATTCTATGAAAATTTCAAACAGTGGTGTGGATTTGTCTTCCTCAGATGTTATAATGACAGCGAAGATTTTGAGGTGCTATGAACTAGATAAAATAGTTTTCCCATCAAAGCATGCAGGCCCCTTAATGGCTTGTCATCTTCAATGGTTTGGAATCGAGGGCTACAATAGTAAACCTTGTATACATTAAAAGAAGAGAAAAATTCTGTATAATTATTCTGGCCCATTATATATGTTTCTTCCCCTACAAATTACACTACAAGATCAGTTTTTTCACAAGCTGAAACCATGATGGTACAAGGGTAGTTTTTCTTGCTTTCTTTTGGTAGGCTCCAGATGCCTGTAACCATTGGGCAAGATAAAATTGAACGCAAAAAATATGCTCCTCTTAAAATTTTACAAATGAACTGATGAAAGAGTTTAATTAAAATTTCCATTTGGTGGGAGACAGGTCAAAATCGAAGGCAGAGTCCTACTGAGTTTTTATACTAGAAATTATGTATGAAATCAAAAGATACACTTTTCACTGTAACAGTAATCTAAGAGTGACATGTCAGATTCTTTAAATTTGAAGGAAGCAGCATTACAACATTTTGTGAAAGCTCAACACTAGTGCCTAATAAGAGGAAGAGTTAAGAGCTTATGAGATGAGACTGACTTCTATGGAATGTTGAGTCCTCAACTAAAACTTAAAATAGAGGTTAAAAAAAATATGCTAAAGGTTTAATTGTTCTGAAAAAAGAGCACTCAAGTTCCTAAACAAATAAATGCATGCGCTTTTTTTAGCTCTGGTTGCGATTAAAATTCCTCCCAGATTTGGAACATTATAATGTACGAGGGCTGTCCCAAAAGAAACCGGACTTTTGTCATAGAAGGCGAACCGAGCGTCGTAATGAAGTTTTCTTGGGCTTGTTTGAAAGCTGATAAGCTACTGGAGATGGTTGTTTTTACAGAATGCAAAAATTCGTCTTGGTAAGGAAACTACACGCTTTGGAATAAAGGAAAGTCAAACTCGAGTTGCGATTTTTGTCTTTATTTCAAGAAAAATTTGGATACAACTTAAGAAAAAACCCAGGTTTTAAGTTAAAAACTTCGTTGCTCTCTCATTCAAATGCTTAAAAATGAGGAAATTAACATTTTAAGCAGCTTACCAAGTCATCACCTATCCCTTTCAAAATACTCGCCAGCTTTTTCGATGCATTTTTGCCACCACCGTTTCTTCAATTGGAAGAAACACTGTTGGAAATCCTCAGGTTTGAATGATCGCAATTCCTTCGAGGTGTTCTCTTGAATTTCCGGAATGATTTGAAAACGTCGACCTTTCAAGGTAGATTTAAGTCGTGGAAATAAGAAAAAATCACACGGAGCCAGGTCAGGTGAATAAGGGGGATGAGGGAGGACACTCGTGGCATTCTTTGCTCAAAATTCGCGAATTTGGAGGGATGCATGGGCAGGTGCATTATCGTGATGCAGAAACCAGGAATTGGCTCCGTGTGATTTTTTCTTATTTCCACGACTTAAATCTACCTTGAAAGGTCAACGTTTTCAAATCATTCCGGAAATTCAAGAGAACACCTCGAAGGAATTGCGATCATTCAAACCTGAGGATTTCCAACAGTGTTTCTTCCAATTGAAGAAACGGTGGTGGCAAAAATGCATCGAAAAAGCTGGCGAGTATTTTGAAAGGGATAGGTGATGACTTGGTAAGCTGCTTAAAATGTTAATTTCCTCATTTTTAAGCATTTGAATGAGAGAGCAACGAAGTTTTTAACTTAAAACCTGGGTTTTTTCTTAAGTTGTATCCAAATTTTTCTTGAAATAAAGACAAAAATCGCAACTCGAGTTTGACTTTCCTTTATTCCAAAGCGTGTAGTTTCCTTACCAAGACGAATTTTTGCATTCTGTAAAAACAACCATCTCCAGTAGCTTATCAGCTTTCAAACAAGCCCAAGAAAACTTCATTACGACGCTCGGTTCGCCTTCTATGACAAAAGTCCGGTTTCTTTTGGGACAGCCCTCGTATACAGTGTGCAAATCATTACACAGTATGGATACCGACAATGTGTAAAGAAATATCTGAAGTGAAAGGAAGGATAAAAAATACTAGGGGGCTACGCGGCCCAACCCCCTGAAGGCGCTCCGCACCATCAATGGGCAGCTTCGCGGCCCTATTTTTACCCTCCTATCAATGTTCCCTTGCAGAAACTGTAAACATAATGTGAAAGTACGGAAAAAATCAGGTAAATTGCTTCATACCTCACGGAACGCCTTGAATAAGGAAAAATAGCGAATTCCGAAGGCCCCTGCCAACTTTAACGCCCATGCGAATGCCCATTGAATGCCCATTGAACATTTTTCATGTTTTTTGTTCTTTTTTTGTTTCGCTGTTCATTACTAGCAAAGAGGCACCCTTTGCTGCATTTCACAGTTTTTAAATCATAAAAAGCCACAATGAGTCACCCTTGTGAAAAAAATGAAGAAATACCATAATATTCTTTAAATGAGAATTCTATACCCACATGCCCTAACGAGCTCTTATAAGCTCACTAAAGTTCAACATGTGCTTATAACAAGTGAAATGGAAAATACATTTCAAAATAAATCAGTAAGTGGCTGTTGAATCCTTCTGACAATAATGTCAAAATAGTGAAACAAGACCAGTATTTCTCGTTTTAGCATTTATTTTGAGATTAATTTGGTAGAAGATGTGAACAAATTCAACTCTGGGAGGCAACGATTGTTCGCTACTTTGGTTAGACACTTATTTTGACTTTTTACTAAAAACCTGACATCCATGAAAAGCAACAGCTAATGGTTACATTTCATGTGGTATCAACCTCAAGAACGTATCTGCTCAAATTTCCCACGGGAAAAACCAAAATTCCTCCCCCCCTGTGCCCATATGGTACTTGCAGGCTGTTATGACTCATCTTACAAGAAATCTTCTCACTTCTTCTGATTTGGCATCTCAGAGCTCACGGTACCTTCAAGATTCCAATTCTGCTGTGGTAATCCTGTGTTTCTCTAGAATACAGGGATTCGGAACGATCTGGGTCCAAGATTGCAGTCCAGATCTAAACCCGGACCCTTGTTTGGGAGGAGCTCTAGACCCGGTCTTGTTCTTGTGAGAGGTTCTGGATCCCGAACCCTGAAGCTATTTCAGTATCACTACAATGCCCTGCAGGTTAGTGTCCTGTGAAAAACAGCCTGTTGCTGTGCGCAGAGCAACGCAACAAAAATTTTAATGTGGGGCAATGAAACAAAATTTTTGCAATCCCCAACAAGAATGAAAAAAAATTGTTTCACAGCCCAACACCAAAATATTTAGAGTTTCAATCCCTCGCGAATTATATTACTGACTTTTTTAAATTCTTTCAAAATCATCAAGAAATGACATTCTTCATTCCTTTACTAATTGGATAGAGGTCCCTTTGAAAGTTCACAAAAAGCCCTATATCTTATTTATCTTTATTATAGCTTATATCCTGCATAGAATTAGTTTTCACTTAGCAGTTTGGTATATTTTTTCTAAGTTTCACCGAATCCGTGGCAAAAATTGCATGCAAGAAAGAAATGGTAGGAAGCAACTCACTATTCAATGCATCTAGTTCTCCTAAAAAGATAATATCTATCTATGTGAAGTCCACTTATAGGAACAAGTTACATTTTACAATTTTGGAGAGGGCCTTCCCGGAGAATTTGGAAACTTTAGCATGTCTGCAACATGTCCTAATGCTCTTTTAGAATTGTGCATAACCTATATTCCTGAAAAAATTCTTCAATTTTTTAGCATTGACACCACAGAAATGTTTCAATTCTCAATCCAATCATCAAATCAAACCATTACTTAATTGTTTTGGTTGTTTTTCATCTTCTATCATATAGTAATCATAGATTTCGCACAAAGAATTTTGAGTTCATTTCTTCAAAATTAAAAAAATTCCTTTCAATAAGAATTTCCTCCGTAAATGAATCTTGGCAATAATAAACAGTTTCCACAAAAACACAAATTAATTTAAAAATGCAATAGAGACACCAATCAAAGGCAAAACTGCTTTTTAAAAAAAGACATTTGCAAAGAATGAAATACTCGAGGAAAAGGAGTTTATTAGGAGTTAAAAAAACCAGACCTTTCTTCAGGGTTGGCAGGAATACCGAGGTCCCCCGTCCTCAACTTTCGGTTGATTTCTTCAATTTGCAGCTGGTCTGAAAGAGAAAGGGATTAGAGGGGGCAAAAAGCCCAGTAAGAATTAGTCAAAATAAAATTAGTGACTTGCTTGAAAGAAAGCAAATTTCCCACGAACAGGTTTTATTAGCAGCTCAAAGAGTAAATCTACAAGATATTAAAATAGACCAATTGATTAGCAGATGCTACCCACTTTGTTTAAAACATTCCCAACTGTTACTGTTTTCCAATTTTAGGTGCCTTTTCTTCCCTCTCTTCTTAGGTTCAAACATGCTATTACTCATTTCTGCTGATCAGGTTTTTAACTGTTATGTCTTTACAAACACACGGTTTGTGGTAGATTTTACAATAATTACATGGACCTAAATGACACAATAAAAGAAACAGCAAAACTTAAACATTAAAGTGAAATTAACGCATTTCAATACACAAATCATCTCAATCGTACGTGTTTCAGCTCAATACCACAAGCTCTCTGCAAAGCTGTGGTACTACAGCTAGGCAAAGGCAACGAAAAGAAACATAGTCATACAAAAGATACGTGATGGCATTAACATAAAAGACACACAATACACTAGCAAGATATAGGACATATAGGCAGTAAGTTGGAATTTTATAACCAACGTCCGTTAGAAACCAGAAAACTGGAAATCTCAATAAAGAAGGAAACAGCACATTCGAGCACGATTTTCCCTCAAAGAGATATGCTGTTTGGTGCAACACTAGTTACAACCATGTTGTACAGGACAAATATTTGAAACTCGGTGCTCAGCCCTAGTTTTATGGGAGGCTCATCCCTCCAAACCCTCAGGGATGCAGGATTCATGCGCATTTTTCATATCTGAGGGGTTAGTTGTTGAATCTTTTTGAGTGACTGTGCCATTCGCCTCAGGAAGCAAATGTAATTCCCAAAGTGGGAGGGAGAGTCACTGAATCGTGCGTACATGACCCACTGTGTGACGCACAGTACCGGTTATTCCAGAGCACCCGCCCACTGTCTTTTTCTCGGAATCTGATTTTCGGGAAGAAAACTTAATGGGGAAAATCGACCCCATAAAATTCAATGAAAGTATTTTCAACCCCCCAACACCCCATTTTGAGGGGTTATAAGGGGGGTCCCCCCCCCCGTCTCTCGCATATTTCAAATAGGAAGGGTACGTTTTGACTTATGATTTAAATTTTACGGCCAAAATTAAGAACTTTTTGTTGTATGCCTTTTTTCCCTGGACCCCCATTTTTTGGAGCTACAGGGCATTTTGGGTCATTTTTGCGCAAATTTCAATTCGACTCTGTAGGCGTTAAAATTATCTGATTATCGAAATAAAAAAATCTTTTGAAAGATGAGATCCAAAATTATGGGGGCCAAGACCCCACGAAAATTTTGGACCTTTGGAGGGCCGTAGGTGAAAAATTTCAAATGGCAAGGGTATGTTTTGACTTCAGATTTGATTCTACGCGAAAAATTACGTAGAATTGTTATGGCGCACGGCCTATTTGCTCCAAATTACTTTAGAACCCCATTTCCCCTAGGAAGCCGTGTACGTTTAGAGGAAAAGGGGGGTAAAAAACATTTGGGGCATACAAGCCGTGCGTCATATCAATTCTACGTAACTTGCCGTAAATGATTCAAATCTAAAGTCAAAACATACCCTTCCCATGGGAAATTTTCGACTTACAACCCTCCAAAGCCCCAACATTTTCAAGGGGTCATGGCCCCCATAATTTTGAATCAACAGGGGTCATGTGGCACATCTATGAAAAGGTGCCTCTTCTCTCGAAAGATTTTTAGATTTCGAAAATCGGATAATTTTAACCCCTGCAGAGTCTGATTGAAATTTGCGCAAAAATGCCCCAAAATGCCCTATAACTCCAAGAAATAGGGGTCGAGGCAAACAGGCATACAACATAGAATTCTTATTCTTGGCCATATTTAAATCATAAGTCAAAACAAACCCTTCCTATTTGAAATATGCGAGAGACGGGGGGCACCCTCCTTATAACCCCCGAAATGGGGTTTTGGGGGGCTGAAAATATTTTCATTGAAAATTATGGGATCGATTTACCCATATAGGTTTTCGTCCCGAAAATCAATTTTCAGCCGATTCCGAGAAAATGATAGTGGACGGGTGCTCTGAAACACCTGGTATGTGCAAAAACTTACTTTCTGTGATTTGGATTGCATTTTGCAATAAGGAACCACTATCTGTGGCTCTTTCATAAAAGCGCATATCTGCATAGAAAAACCAATGGCATGTATGTTGTTTCTAAATTGGACCAGAAATAGTAGTTCCTTATTGCAAAATGTAATCCATTTAATGTGCTGCATGCAGTTCGTCCAGGAACCTCTTTCCCATCACTCACTGTACGACAACAGTTCGTTTTTTCCTTTTGATGGCCCTCTGGGCGACCGTTCTTTCCTCCGTCCACCATGGAAGCTCAAAGTTTGCCATTCGACGGCTGGACCGATTTTACTCAAAATCAATACCAAACCAGTTCTGGAGTGGAACCACCGATCATAGAATCAGCTCAAAATCTTCAACTTGACTCGAGTTATCAAATGGACAAGATTTGACCTCCCCTATTTTCAAGCCCCACCCCTCAATATATGTTGTTGTAAAATTAAATTTTTGTCCGCCCAATAAAGGCTTTGATGAGGCTCTATACAAGCAAGAAAATTCATTAAAATATTTTACAATATAACCAGACAGATATGACTACTCAAAAATCAGAAAATTTGAAAAAGGCACTCCCGCCGTACAAATAGAGTGTGCCGTAAGTCCATACCCCCCCTCTACCCCTTCGAAATTTTTCCGGATTGAATCAGTTAGAATAAAAACACATCAACTCAGAAAAATGGAAATGTTCAGGAGACATAAAAATCTATGCGGTAGGTAAAGAAGTTAGTCTAAGGAAAAGCTGTTAGGTGCCAAAGGACAATGGATCAGTTACGCTGGTCCCAAAATCGTGTTTTGATGCTTGATTCTTGCAGATCATCTAAAAGTAAGGTCTGTCCTAACAGCAACTCTCTACGTTCAATATAAACCGAGATATCGCGCTTAGAAACATTTGTTCAATGGCGTCATCCAACGCGGTAGTGACACCCTAGGTTTCTTCCACCTTGCTTTCATCCGAGTTTCATATTAAGTAACCAGTGAAATACGAGTGTCCCTGACAAATGACACCCTTTAACCAAGATATCCTGCTTGGAAAAATTTGAACATAGCAGCTGTTTGACGGATCTTGTTATCTTTATCTAATTTACAAGAATTAAGCATCAAAACATGATTCTGAGACCAGCCCAACTGAACCATTCAAGGAGAGATTTGTGTTTTGCAACCTACTTTATTCGCGATTGTGACGATGACAAAAATCCTTAAAAAGAGGAAGAGGCTTGAAATTGAGAAATTTCAATGAGGGTGCACTTTTAAAATCTCTGAGGACCCGTTTAAAAAAGAATGGCAATTTGAACGAATCACCCTTTTCAAAAATCACATAAACAGTAAATTTATGAGACAAAATACAATGGAACAGGACATGTAATTGGTGAATATGCCGTTCAAGATGTTTAGAGACGAGCTGTCATTATCAGTGCGCAAGCATAGGAGGGTCGATGGAGGGAAGCGATGGTAAAGGCCCAAGCGCTGCAATGCACTCCTCAATGCTGTGTCTATCCTACAGACAATCAAGAAAGTCATAGCCGAACGCATCAATTTGACGTTAGCACAAAGTACATTTTTGGTAGGCATTTCTCATGGAATTATCAGATTATGACCAAATTTAGGATATTCATTCTCCAAGACCTTCGATTAAGTCAATTTCCGCGAAAAGAGCTCTTTTTGCAAATAATATCCAATTGCTTTTTGACTTGCTTTAATTACCTATAGTACATAAGAGTAAAGAGTAAGCTTACATAATTAATAGGTAAGCTTTAGAGCCATGCTTTATTAGAATAAGAGGGAAGTTTTAAAAGGTGTGAAAGATCTATATGATAAAAGGTAGTAAACATTCTCATCATCAGTGATGCATATTCTGGGTGTCCATTTTATAGAATGAGTTGGACTATAGAATAGTGGATTTACTGCAATCATTGCTAGAGCAAGCTAAGAGATAAAATTGTACATGAGGAAAATTTTTAGAGAGATCCTGAGAAAAAATGGAACATGAAAAGTCTAGACCGGAATATCGTCCAAACTTAAACTTTAGGAAGAAACCTGGAAAAATGGAAGTTGAATAGGTCTTAGAAAGTTCTATCGGAGTATGTTATGGAGGTTGCAGCTCTGGAACCTAAGTTTTCATTTTACAACAAAATGAACAGAAGGCTGAGTTGGCAGCTAAACTTGATGTTGATAAGGTAATTGCTAACTCAGAGGCAAAGATTCATCATGAGTCTCAGACCATTGAAAAAGAAACAAGAGCAAAGATGATACGAGGTGTATTAAGTTAGAGTTCTCTAGTTATGGTTGGGGTAGTTACGAGGTCTGTTCAATATGAAACCAGATTTTGGTGATAACTAGCCCACAATGCACCCGAATTAGGTTTCCTTGGACTTTCCTGATAGCTAATAACATATTGAAGAACGCAAGATTCTCAGATTTTGTTCATCTTGATCAATGTTCATTCTGTATCACCTTGAATACGAGTAAGTCAGGTGCATTCTGCGATTTTCATGATGCGATTACTGATAGAGCAAAGATTTAACATTACAATTTGTTTTAAACTCGGTATACCTTGTACTGAAACTTTTGGTATTCTAAGTAAAGTTTACCAAGAACATTGAATAAGTTGTTCTCTCTGTTTTGAGTGGTTCAAACGATTCAAAACTGGTCAAGAGTCTGTCGAAGATGAGGAGCACGGGAATCAACTATCAATGGCAACTGAAATTTGCCACGTAGAAGAAATGCGAGCAAAAGTGCTCGAAAATAGTTGTTTCGAGCTTGCTGAACAGTGTCATATTTCTGAAGGCTCCGTACATACAGTTCTGATAGAATATTTAGACATGCATCGAGCTTCAGGTAAACTT